TGTATAGATGTATTGCTGGTGTGGCACTGTAGGTTAATGCGCTCGGCTGCAAGATTGGTTTAAACGGCAATGTCAGTGCCTCAAACTCACCAGCCGCTCACCGGAAACACTATACAGGGTAGCTATGAGTAGCTGAGAACTGACTTGAATGGCACTTAGCAACAACAACAACAACAACAACAGATATATTGCTAATATCTCAAAAAAAAAAATGCCTTCTGATTTCAGCTGTACTGATGGAATGCAGGAGTCGTTTTAATTACTGTTTGGGATAGGGTGTAAGGGCATGGGGAATGGGACAGGAATCTAACACCTATTAAAGCTATGGTGGGAGGTTTCCTGGGTATTTGAAACTTAAGCTGTAAAGTTGGGCATTCTTGCCTTTTCCTGTCCCTCCTAGGACTCTGCTGGAAGAATGATGGGCTTTGTGGTTGTTGGGGGATTGGCCTTTGTTTTGTAAGCACTAATCTGTTTAGCTGGTGATTGTTTTTTTGAGAGGAGAGCATCCAGCATTATTTCCTTCCAACTGCCTTTGTGAAGCAATTTTGCCAGTATTGGCTTGGGCCAATTCCTAATGCTAAGACGTGTTCAGGGTCTAGAGTGTAGGAGCTAGATAGACCTAAGCACTTAAATTAACCAGAAAGCATTCCAATTGGACAGGGATAAGATTAGTCATGTTAAGCAAGATTCAGTGACATATGAGAAGAGAAACATGATAAAAAACTGAGATGATTTGAAAGAGAAGGCTGCTTTTAATGAACACCTGCTGAGATGTCCCCTCATGAAAGGAGTTGATTCACTGACTCACAATGAACAATGACACAGTGGAATGGGGATATAGATGCATTTCTCCTGAATGGCGTAATCTCAGATTCAAAACACTGGAAGGGTTTCCCTGTTTTGTGCTTTCCTGAAGGAGCAAAGATTGATTAGCTTTTATTAAAAAAACAACAACAGATTTGTTTGTTTTGATTTTTAGGTGCCATTGACTATCTGATTTTATTTTAAGATCTTCAGAGGAACTTCTCAAAACTTGTATAAGATGTACCTTTTTTTTTTTTTTTTTACAAAATTATTTCTATTTGTACTAGAGATTTGTCTAACATTTTTTATTTGATCTAGAAAATTTGACTGGAAGATAAATAAAAATGTGTAATTTCAGGGTTGCCACTGGCTATTTAAGTTAGCCTTGACAGAGTCTTTAAAAAATTATGTTATCTTTATATATAGGGAAGAAATCAAGATGCTATAAACAAAAATGATGGATAAATTACATAAGCAGTTTATATAATAAAAAGACATAAAATATTGTTGAAAATATTTGTAATAAATAAAGTCAAGGGCTGAATAAAAAAAAGAACAGAAAATAATTATTTACAAACCAGTTAATAAACAAAAACTATTTAATAGAAAAATAGGTACTGGGAAGAACAGGTAATTAACATATAAGAATTATTATGCATTTAACTTTTGTGAAATACATAAAATAACTTTATGTTATCATTTTGCATATTCATTTGACAAAATTTTGATTAAAAATTTAAAGTTTAATCTTAAATGCTATGGTGGTGGTGGCTGTGTGCTGTGGAGTATGTTCCGACTGATAGTGACCCTATACAGGGTTTCCAAGGCTGTAAATCATTACGGGAGCAGAGAGCCTCATCTTTGGCCCATAGAAACAGCTGGTAGTTTTGAACTGCTGACCTTGCGGTTTGTAGCCCGATTCGTAACCACTTTGCTACCAGAGCTCATGTAAATGAGCCCTGCTTGTATAATGGTTAAAGTGCTGAGGTACGAGCTAAAAGGTTTGTGGTTTGAACCTACCAGTTGCTCTTGGTAGAAAAGAGCTGGTGATTTGCCTTCCAAGAGATTGCAGCCTAGGAAACCCTATGAGAGCAATTCTATTCTGTCATATGGGTTGTTAGGAGTTGGAATTGACTTGATGGCATACAACAAAACAATGGAAAATGTGCTTCAAGTAAGATCACATTGAATAGATCACATTTTGTTTACAGTACTGAGTTAGGTTTTGGATTGCTAACTGTAAAATTAGTGGTTCAAACCAAACTGCCCCTCAGCGGGAGAAAGATGAGGCTGTTTGCTCTCACAAAGATGTACAGCACTGGAGACCCTTGGAAGCAATTCTGTCCTGCAGGGTAGCTGTGAGTTGGAATCCACTAGGTAACAGTGAGTTTGGTTTGGGCTATCCAAATTAGAAATTATACACACTTTGAGTCACTAATCCTATTTAGGAGTTTTAGCTCATAGATATACTTACAAAAGTCAGTTAAATATGTAAATAAACTTTATGATAGCACTGACACCCTCCTCCAAGAAATCATGAGTATTTTCATTATTAGGGGATTGGTTAAACACATCTGTAGTGGAATGTGACATAGCCTTAAAAAGAATGAGACAGATTTATAAGAGAAAAATCAAATTATGCTTACATATGTTTATTTTTGAATGAATTACAAAAAATTGTTGAAATAATGTATCCTTTCTGTACTTAAAAGCTTTCCTAACTACAAAAGCAAAACAAAAGGAAAACAAAACAACAACCCAGGACCCTTGAATTGATTGAGACTCATAGCGGCCCCATGTGTTACAGAATAGAATTGACCCATAAGATTTCCTTGACTGTGATCATTAGGGAGCTCTGGTAGTGTAGTGGTTACGAATTGGGCTGTGAACCTTAAGGTAAGCAGTTCGAAACTACCAGCTGTCCCATGGGAGAAAGATTAGGCATTCTGCTCCCGTAAAGATTTACAGCCTTGGAAACCCTGTACAGGGTCACTATGAGTTGGAATCTATGAGTTGGAACTGACTCCATGGCACATAACAACAACAACAACAACAACATGAGTTGGAAGTGACTCTACAGCAGTTAACAACAACAATGTTGGGGAAAAAAACAAAAAAAAACCCATTATACATTTTTGTTGGTGCTGTTGTTAGTCTTCCCCTTCCCTTGTTTTAACTGATGATATGGAGTTTTTCCACCATCACTTTCCACAGATGTAGTCAATTTGATTTCTGTGTCTTCCATCTGGTGAGGTCTCTGTTTATAGATGTATTTTATGTTGTTTAAAAAAGGTATGTGCAATAAACAAATTATTGATCTTGTAAAATTCTATCATGTGATCTCTAGCATCATTTCACTAAGGCCATATTTTCTAACTACTCATCCTTCCTCTGTTCCCAACCTTTGAATTCCAATCATCAGTAATTATCAATACATCTTGATTGCATGTGTGATCAATTTTAGACTGAAGAGGTTGATAGAATTCTTCAATATCATCAATTAGTGGTTGGTGTATGCATTTGAATGACAGTGGTATTAACTGGTCTTCTTTGTATGTGTATGGATATTAACCCATCACAGACAGCGTTGTACCTCATGACTTATCTTGAAATGTTCTTTTTGATGATGAATGCAACGCCATTCTTCCTCAACTTGTCACTCACAGTGTAGCAAATCATGGATTGTCAGATTCAAAATGGCCAATACCAGTCAATTTCAGCTCACTAATGCCTAGGAGACCTCCAACAAGATGGACTGGCCAGGTGGCAGCATTGATGGACTCAAGCGTGGCAACAATAGTGAGGTTGGCCCAGGATCAGGCAGTGTTTCGCTCTGCTGTGCATAGGGTCGCTATGAGTTGGTACCGACTCGATGGCACCTAACAACAATGCCTACGATATTAATGATAAATTCCATTTAATTTTTGACAATTTTCAATTTTCCTAGAGTCATACTTTGTACATTCCATGTTCCAATTGTTAATGGATTTTTATAGCTATTTTCTTTATTTTGAGTTGTACCCCACCAGCAAATGAAGGTCTTGAGGGCTTTACTCCATTCGTATCATCATGGTCAACTCTACTTTGAGGAGGCAGTTCTTCCCCAGTTACCTTTTGAGTACCTTTCAACCTGAGGGGCTCATCTTCCGGCACTATATCTGACAATATTCTGGCGCTCCTTATCAGGTTTCAGTATGAGCCAAAGTCAATAGAAAATTATGAATCATAAAAACAAGTGCAAGACTAATGACAAAAATAATCTTATGATAATTCACAATTTTCTGTAAATTAACTTTAATTTGGATAAACTTTGCAGATGATGTTTATTTCCCAGAAAAATAAGCTTGGGGTACTAATAACAGTTTTGTTTTTATTTTGACTTTGAATACTTGTTATTGTTGTTGTTAAGTGCCATCAAGTTGGTTGCGACCCTATATAGGGTTTCCAAAGCGTGGCTGGTGAGTTTGAACTGCCAACCTTGCAGTTCAAATGGCTTTGTAGTCTGGTGCATTAACCCACAGTACCACCCCACCACAAATTATTGTCATCCTTTTTGGTAGCTGTTTTGTAGTTTGTATCAAGAAATTTGACCCAAGTTATCTCAGGATACTCCATTCTCAAAAAGTTGTTCAAGAGAACAACTATTTATACATAAAAAACATTCATTGATAAAATGGGCATATGAATTATGGTATATCCATTTGGCAAAATGCTATATATATAGTAAAATAATAACTATGAGTATCTTGTGGTAGTATTGGAAAACATTTAAAAGCTGAAGCTAAATAAGCATGTGCCTCCACTAATTCACGTAAAATATTAATTTTGTTGGAAATATCAGAAATGTAAAATATATTGAAACAAAAATAAGTAGAGTCATTGGAGTGTGGGAAATGCAAGCAATGTTAGTTAATTTCTTTACTATTCTAAGGACAATAAATTAAAATGGGAGGAAAAAGGCACGGAGCAGATGTTGGGTGTGGTGGGAAGTGTGGACAGTGTGAGAACTTACTGGGCCCTTGTCATAAATGATTTATTCTAAGAGGGGCCACTGTCATCTTTACCAAGTTTATACTAAACATGACAATGACCTCCTTTACAAAGGATTATTTGCTTTAAAAAGATGAGGTAACTTACTGCTTCACTATTTATTCAAGCATTTTTTTTTTAATTGTTGTTGTTATTAAATTTCCTAGGTTCTCTCCCTGGCTGAAATTCTTTGGCCATGTATCCTGTTCATGATTCTGACAGTACTTCGTTTTCAAGAACCTCCCAGACACAGAGATAGTTGTAAGTTTCACTTTTAATTATACTTCTAGAATGTTAAACTTCTATATAAAAATGCAACTTTCTCTAATCTGCTCTTTATAAACTCTTGAATTCTGAGTTCCTTATATTATCACAATAACAATATATCTGGGATATGTGCCAACAGGTGTCATTATAGACTTTTTTCAAGAACGATATTCACATATGTATACGAAATCTAGGAAATCTATAAATTCATCCAACCAAATGCATTCAATTTGGGGCATAAGAATACATATCATCATTGTTATTGTTAAGTACTGTCGAGTTGGTTCTGACTCACAGTGACCCTGTGTAGGGTTTCTGAGGCGCAGCAGGTGAGCTTGAACCACCGACCTTGCAGTCTAGCACGTTAACCCACTGCGCCATACCAGGACTCTATTTTTCATATTAATTATAGATAATTCCTGACTCTGTCGTAAGTCAAATAAACACCTTTTATTTTTTTCTTTCTAGTTTTCATAAGCTGCTTTACGGCAGAGTTTAAACAGCAAATCGTATAACATAACACCTGAAAGTAATATCTGAGTGTGATAGCATCAGCAAATGAAGCTCTGCAACACTGTATGTAGCTTATGTTGCTAACTGTAAGATGTATAAAACAAATGAACAAAAAAAATAAATGATGGTTGAAATTGCAGCTCCCCATAAGTTTTATGACTCGTTTCTTCTTCCAGGTTACTTACAAGCCCGGGACCTGCCGAGCAGAGGTATTTTCCCCTTTGTCCAAAGCCTTCTTTGTAACACAGGCTCACAGTGCAGGAACACAAGCTTTGCGCCACCTGCTGAGCACCACTCTCGGTAAGAGTAAAGACTCACTAGTTTCTGATAGTTAAGAGACTGTAAGACCTATAGTATTATGAACTAAAATAAACCGTTTTCATTAATTTTAAACATAATAATGATTACAACGGATGATTATTTTCCAGTAGGGGATCTTTCCACTCCTGTTTTAAGAATCACAGAGTAAGTGCTGATTAGTAAAAAACAAAAAACAAACATTTGCATATCATACTTTGTCTTCTGTAGGTTACAACTTTTACCTGAAAACTACTTATGTAACAAAGTTTTCATTAGTGCCAATACCCCAGCCAAATACGTTTGAGTCACTTACTGGATTTCCCGTAGTGTGCTATTAATTGGCCAGAATCTGCTTCTGAACTGAGATAAAATGACAGCAGTGCTCAACCATCTGTGAATTCTTTCTGGTGGTGGTGGTCGTGTGCGGTGGAGTCGGTTCTAACTCATAGCGACCCCGTGTAGGCTTTCCAAGGCTGTCAATCTTTACGAGAGCAGAAAGCCTCATCTTTCACCCATGGAACAGCTGGTAGTTTTGAACTGATGACCTTGAGGTTAGCAGCCCGACTTGTAACCACTATGCTACCAGAGCTCCTTTAATTTTTATATAACTCCCTAAATTAACTGTGTTGTTAAAGAGCCGTCCAGTCAGTTCTGACTCATAGTGACCCTGTAAAGAGTTTCCAAGGAGTGGCTGGTGAGTTTGAACCACCAACCTTGCGATTCAAACTGACCTGGAGGTCCAGCGCATTATCCTGTGCACCAAGACTCCTTCCCTAAATGAACTTGATGGGAGTTAAGTCTGGTTCTGGTTATCTCAGTGCTAATTCCTGCTTGTGGCTGCTAAGGCTTTAATTTGCTTTGAAAATCAAGAAAAAAGAAAGAGGAAGAGCTAATGGGGGCAAGTGTCAAAGAGGGGGGGCATTGAAGAACCCTGAAGCTTTTAGGTACTTCCTTCAGGTGGAGTTAGAAAAGAAGAGGAGTGACTATCATGAGAGTTTAACTCTATTTATTAGGTCTGAATGATGTAGATTTGTTTTACCTGCTCTTACTGGTTACAATCGGACTGTGAACCCAAGGTCAGCAGCTGCTCCGTGGGAGAAAGATGAGGCTTTCTACTCCCGTAAAGATTTAAAGCCTCGGAAACCCTGTTCAGGGTCGCTATGGGTCGGAACCGGCTCGACAGCACTTTAACAACAACAACTGGTATTGAAAGAAGCTTTGTTAGCATAGTGGTTATGAGTCAGGCTGTTAACCTCATAAGCCAACAGTTCGAAATTAGCAGCCGTTTCACCGGAGAAAAGGGAAGCTTTCTTTTCCGGTAGATTTACAGCCTCCGAAACCCTACGTAGGGTCGCTATGAGTCAGAACCGACTCCACGGCAGACCATCACTGGTATTTAGCAATCTTGTTGTTGTTAAGTGCTGTAGAGTCGGCTCTGCCTCACAGAGACGCTGTGTAGGGTTTCCAAGGTTTGGCTGGTGAGTTTGAACCGCTGACTTTTCAGTTTAAACCTACTGTGATCCTGTGCCCATTAGCATTTCCGTTTATGTCTTTCTTATGTCTCTTTATTACTTGTAACGGGAAATTTGAATGATGTTGGAGTGGAAAGAGTTGGGCTTTGGAGCCAAATATACTACTCTGCTACCTTTTAGTTCTGTGATTTTGTACAAATTACTTACCTAACCCATGGCAATGCAACAGAATGCCGAAATCATCAGACAATACCATTAATAGTGTATGCAAGTAAAATCTTGCTAAAAATAATATAAAAAGGCCTGCAACCGTTTGACAGAGAAGTTCCAGAGTTCAAACTGGATTCAAAAAAGCACCTGGAGTGAGGGATGTCATTGCTAACCTCAGATGGATCTTGGCTAAAAGCAGAGAATACTAGAAAGATGTTTACCTGTGCTTTAGTGACTATGCAAAGGCTTTTGATTGTGTGGATCATGACAAGCTCTGGACAAGATTTCAGTGTGTAAGTATTCCGGAACACTTAATTTTACTCATGAGGAACCTGTATATAGACTAAGAGGCAACTGTTCGAACAGAACAAGGGAACACCTTATAGTTTAAAATTAGAAAAGGTGTGTGACAGGGTTGTATTCTTTACCATATTTATTCAAATTGTATACTGAGAAAATAATCTGAGAAACCGGATTATATGAAGAAAAAGTGGCATCAGGATTGGAGGAAGATTTATTAACAACCTGCAATATGCAGATGATAAAACTATGCTTGCTGAAAACAAAACAGAGTTAAAATGCTAACTGATGAAGGTCAAAGACCACAGCCTTCACTATGGGTTGCACCTCAATGTAAAGAAAACAAAAATCCTCACCACTAGATCAATCAATCAATAACATCATGATAATTAGAGAAAAGATTGAAGTTTTCAAAGACTTCGTTTTGCTTGGATCCACTATCAACACATGAAAATAGCTGTCAAGAAATCAGACAATGTATTACATTAGGTAAATCTGCTGCACAAGACCTCTTTAAAGGGTTGAACAGCAAAGATTTAAGTGTGAGGACTAAGTTGCACCTGACCCAGTCCATGGTATTTTCAATGAATAAGGAAGTGAATAAGGAAGACTGTGGAAAAATTGATGCATTTGAGTATGCTGTTGGGGAAGAATATTAAAAGTACCATGGACTGCTAGAAGAATAAACAGATCTGTGTCAGAAGAAATACAGCCAGAGTGCTCCCTAGAAGTCAGGATGGTGAGACTTTGTTCATAATGCAGTTTAAAACAAACTGAATTGCTTCTGAATAAATAAAAGAAGAACATAATACCAAGTTATTATTTCAGGGGAAACTCATCTTGAATTACAACAATCTCTATAATCTGATAATTCTGTGGTTCCCAGGAAATTCTCATGTGTGGGTGAGCATGATAACTTGAATCATGGTTCACAGACTTTAGAGGTCAATTTTAACATTTTATTGGAGTTATCTTGACAGAGTTGTAAGAACTGATTTCTTGTGCATTTGGAATCCTGACTGATTTGAGTGAAAGTCCATATTTTAAAAGGTTCACTGAAGTGTACTAGTTGTAGTAGCAGAAGATGACCTGGACCAGAACTTGGCCACCTGGTCTCTACAGTGGACACTGGCATTGTCAGTCCACTAGCTTTTAGCAAATTCGCTTCAATTCTCTTGGCTTCATTTCTTCCCCTTTAAATAGTGTTGATACCTCAAAGTACTGAATTAATTTTGATCATCAATAAATGTTTGTTGAACCTACTTTGATTTCATTATGCCAAATGGCTCTGAATCAGAGTGACCTTATGTACAAGGTTAAGACTAAAAGAACTGCTACTAGTGTTCCAGATCCTAAATATATATGGGTTTATCGTGGACAAAATGTGTTAAACACATCTCTGCAGTCAGTGGATGGCTGCAGAAAAAGTATCTCCGTCATACACTTGTCTTAGCCTCATTGTCGGTTTCCACTCATAGCAACCCTCTATAGGGTTTCTGAGGAGTGGCTTATGGGTTTGAACCACTAACCTTGCAGTTAGCAATCCAGTGTTTATCCTACAGTGTCACACCAGGACTTCTAGTCTCATTGTTGTTGTTAAGTGTCATGGAGTCAATTTCATCTCATAGCGACCCTGTATAGGATTTCCAAGGCTTTCAATGTTTTTATGCAAAAAGAAAGTGGCTGGTGGGCTCAAACTACCAACATGTGGTTCATAATTTTGTGCTTAGCCTATGGAGCCACTGTGCTTCCCTCTAGTCTTATTGTTGTTATTGATGTTGCCCGGTGCCATCGAGTCGGTCCTGACTCATAGTGACTCTAGGTATGAAGAACTGACTCAGAATGAAGAACTACCTGGTTCTGCGCCAACCTCACAATCATTGCTATGCTTGAGCTTAATGCTGCTTCCACTGTGCCAATCAATCTCACTGGGGGTGCCTTCAATAAAAAAAGTCCAATCTAATAGTGGCCTACAAGTGAACTGCTGGGCCAATTAAATTCAAGGCAGAAGGTTATGGAGACTGAATATTCTTGATAAATTTCACTGAAGGGCACAGGATAATAATGGAGGGTTATTATGAGGAAGTTTTAAGAAAATTGAAAATCACATTGGTGAGAAAAGGGCCAGGAAAATTGTGCTGAGATTTTTTTTTCCATAGTGACAATTCACCTGCTCATCCTTCAAAGGTAGCAAAAGGGCTGTTCTATGAGAATTCCATTGGAAAACCTTATCTCATTCATGCACAGCCCTGATCTTGACCTTCCAGACCTTTTTGTTCCCCAAACTCAAAAAATATTGAAGAGACTACCCAAACTGCCATTTTGACATGGTGTAAATCAAAGAGCACAGAATCCTTGGAGAACAGATAGAAGAATAGAAAAACACTTTCAGAAGTGTACAGACCTAGATGGAGGTTATGTTGAGAAAAACATAGCTTCATATTTTGATATTTGTGTTCAAGAAAGGTTTTTTTTATGGTTTTATAGCATTATTTTTTTACTTGCTCTCGTATAATAGAACAAAATGTTACCTGATCTGGAGCTAGCTTCATGATTTTTGGTGTATTGGAGTGCATTGTTGTGGCTACTCTCAGAGAGGACTTTGTGTCTCTTTATTGTCCCTGAAATTTACTAGCTATGATGTCCTTTACGAAGTAAGTATAAGTTTTAGACAATATTCTATTATTCATAGTGATTTTATTATTGAAATTTTGGAATTGCATCATTAAACAGAAAGCTAGTCTGTCTTGGTCTAGAAGCTCCACTGAAACTTGTCCTCTATAGGTGACCTTTCTAGTATTTGAAATAGCGGTGTTATGGCTTCTGACACCATAGTACCATGTAAACCGTGACAGTATGACACATGGACATACAGAAGGTGGAAATTCATGACAGAGTATGGTATTAAATGACAATGGGGAAACGATTTTTACTATCACAATTTATCAGTGAAACTTTGTATTATTCCATGTTAGATTTACTTGTTACAAACTGCCACTTCATTTTTACAGTTCTCTA